CACAATAACAATTATTAACTACGACGACAACAACAACGACGACGACGACGACAACGCCGGACAAAATTTTTCCCTTAATATACCTTTCCCTTCCATCTTTGATGGTACGGGCAAGGTAATTAAAACCACTGATAAAGATTGTTACAAAATTAGTCAAGTCGGCTCTGTGGCACAAGTGTGAACACTCTAATAGTTAATTATGCAAATAAGTTAATAAATATGCAAAATTTGTATCAAAATTGAATCAGACTGGAATTTCATCAGCAAGCAGGTGCTATATTTGTATCTTCAGAAGACATGTACAGTGCGAGCTCATTCTGTTATTATTTTGGGTGGGCTAAACACTAAAAATGAAAACATTTTGACCGCAGAATAAACTCTGTTCAATGGACAGCAAATTAATGACTTAATTGATTACAGATTCAGTTAAAGGAAACTTCAAAAGAAATCAAGACTTTTTTGTCACTGTTTCACAGTGTTACTTTGCCATGTCATGATCACATAGCAAGGCTGTACACAATACATAATGTGAACACCCACCACAAGTTTTAAGCATTTCATTGTTCAATACACTGCTTTATTCATCTTAAGATAACAATAATAGTTACTATTTAGAGTCTACATAACCTTTACCCTTTAAACTTTAACCTTACTATTGCACAAGACTCAATAGGCAGCAATAAAATTCACATGACAGGGCTCAATAGGCAGCAATAAAATTCACATGACAGGGCTCAATAGGCAGCAATAAAATTCACATGACAGGGCTCATCAGGCAGAAAAAAATGACACCACATGAGATACAACTATTTCCCCAATTGGTTATACAACACTTCACACTTTTGAAATCAGCCAAACAGAATGGTTGTTCTTTTGATATATTAGAAAGGAACAATAGTTCACAATACTTTTATCTGTTAAGAGATAGAAATTTCTCAATTCCAAAACAGAAGTAATTTGAATACATTATGCAGTGTTATCTTGACCATGTCTTTTGGCCAATCAAAGCAGGTGTTCTGATTCTGATTTAAAGCTCCCAGCATTCCTTGTCAGTACAAACAAATTTGATTATGCAAACAAAATGTCATCAAGTTAAAAACAACAATCACACTGAGCATTTCTGTTGTATGCAAATCATGGAAAGACTCCCTATCACAGCAGTAATTGGCATTCAAACAAATCTGTTTCTAAATAGGAAATTATTTATAAGTAATTGGATTTAATAACAACAGCGACTGTCCTGCGACATAAATATCCTTTTTTCTCTTAACAGAGTAAGAATATGTGATAATTTTATAAAATGAAAATGTTCAAGATTTTTACTAAGCTGACAAGAATTTTCAGGTTTAATTTATAATTGTCAAATCTTAAACACAAGAAATATGTTAATTTCATACACATATTGAGGTTAACAAGTGGTACTGACAAAAATAAGACTCTGATCCAAATACATTTCACAAGTCAATATTACATAATATTTGCCAAAATATATAATGACTAAATTACAATATTTTACAATATCACAATTTTTTAAAGTAAATGATAAAAAAATATGTAGTGACTGCTGCTGTTTGGCTCGATTTCAACTACTAAAATGAAACAACCAATCCAACAGTTTTCACTATTTATAAAGAGTACATCAATGCAACCTTGACTTTTGGCAAGAAATAAAATTAGGTACTGTGTGGCAATGACAATCACAAAGATGAATTCATTTAATTATGCACATAATATGTAATAAACAGAAAAGGTTTCATTTACAGATCACTCATATGTAAAAACAGATGAGTGGGTTCGTAACAACTAATGAGTTATACTCTAATAATGGTATTTTATAATTTAATAAATAGCCACTCACAAAACAGGGGGTTCCTATGACATCAATTATATGCAAATATCAGTTTAATTTATGTAATAAATAGTCAACCATGCAATAGATTGCCATGTAAATAGTCAATTAGAAGCAAGTATCAAAATAATTTATGCATTTAATTTAATAAATAGCCAATTAGAAACTAAAGCAACAGACCAATAGCCTGCATATGTTGTAATATATGCAAATAATTTAGCCAATCACGATGGACACTGGAGAAAATTGATCTTGATTACTCAGTTGTTTGTATATCAACTACAAAACACAATAAATTGAACTACTCAGCTGCTTTCCCCCCCCCCCCCACCTCATTTCTTTTGTTGGAAGTTTAGAGCCGAGAAAGTAGTTGTAAAAATACACTGTAGCACAACAATTTGAATCCATTTTTTGTTCTTTTTTATTAAAATATTGGGAAGAGTTTTAAATTTGCATTTTGTAGGCAATTTTAGAGGTTTTTTTTTGAATGGATGAAACTTCAAAACAGAAGACTATATTTAAGACAACATATTTGAGAAAACAGTGGCCAGTGTATTGAAAAAAACCTGATCTCAATTTTTATAATGAAAAATATCATAAAATAATGTCTCATTACTTTTCAATTTTGCATATGAAAAACATATTTCTTTAAGGATAGGGTGTGGGATTATATTCATTGCAAAGAATACTACAAATCCCTGTCTGTATTGCAGACATTTTGAATCTATTAAGTATAAATTGGGTGTGAGAACCTGGGTAGATTCTGATCAGTGTTTCTAATTCTAAATGCAAGCATTGAGAAAAATTGTCGAAATATGTCCAAACACAATGAGAAGAGAACCTGGTAAATCTTTAGCGTCCAGTGACACATTATTAATGTCTACGTACAGAAGTACTGTAAAATGACTAATTTTTACTGGGTTTAAATTTCGCTGATTTACCATTTCAGGTATATTCAGTGGGTTTAAAATTCAGTTTTATCATTTAGATAATGTGTTCTATGCTAAATTTAACATATTCAATGGGTTTTAATTTAGTGCATTTCCCAGTCAGCGAAATAAACAAAATTAAAACCCAGTGAATAATTAATCCTTTTACAGTAATGCTAAACTTCAAATTTTCCTGGAATACCACCCAAGCACTAACTGTAAAATCTTTTATTTTCACTGGCATTTTGATGCTTTGAAGAAGGAACATACCAAGAAAACAATGAATTCTATTGTTCAATGTTGTCTGAATTTAGTTGATTTTACAGTGAACAGCAAAATTGGCCAAAAAAAAACTCCAGTGAATAAGTAATGCATTTAAATTACAAAAATACCTAAAGGTCACACATCCTGGTACATGACCTCTCCCCTAAAGGTCAGACATCCTGGTACATGACCTCTCCCTTAAAGGTCACACATCCTTGTTCATGACCTCTCCCCTAATCGTCACACATCCTGGTACATGACCCCTCCCATAAATGCCACACATCTTGGTTCATGACCTCTCCCCTTAAGGTCAAACATCCTGGTACATGACCTCTCCCATAAAGATCACTCCTGGTACACGACCCCTTAAGGTCACACATCCTGGTACATGACCTCTCCCATAAAGGTCACACATCCTGATTCATGACCTCTCCCCTGAAGATCACACGTTCTAGTACATTATCCTAAAACTTGAGGTATACTGTTGGAAATTATGGATTACAAGAATTCATCAGAAAATACCAGGATATGCAACAGACAGGAGATCATACATAAAACCCATTAAACTCTAATTTATAGCAAAGAATCAGAAGAAACACACCGGGTGTTATTTTGTTTTAGCTACTAGTAAATAGGTATACAGGATGCCCTCAACATTTCAATTCAATTCTGATTGGTTAATATGCAATAACAGTATGCTTTACTTTAGAAATGGGTAAAATTTCTGAACTTCTGAGTTCCCAATGGCCACTATTTGGAATATAAATTCACAGTTGAGTCGAAGCTTATATACCAGGCAGAATTTAATACATCAAAAAAACAAGCTGCTCTCTGATTGGTCTGATTGTAAGGTGTTATGGTTGGGTAGCCAATTAGGTACACTTTTGTAAGTAGCTTCATACTGACTCAAAATTCATTGGTGATGTGTGAGTATAAACTTTGAGTGAGGTGTTTGATAATAAATGAGCAATTATCGGTTTACTGTCTCAATGATGATTATGACATTTGTAGCAATTGTCACTATACATGAGAAATACATGGCCTACATTTATCCTGATAACACTGAAACCATCTTGGTACACTCAAATAAGACAGGAAGCATGTTGCAATGGCAAGAGTTTTTGCCATTTAAGGATAATGGCAAGGGTTCATTAGTTAAACTGATAATATCAAAGTGGGGAACGATAAAATTAAAGAACGTAGCTGGTGTGATATGCAATGAAGATCTCATTTTGAAGTCACATGAATTCCAAGATGATAATATAATCACAAGATCAACATTTCTAAATATACTAGATGCAAATGGGTAAGTTTGTGGAAAAAAGGTTCAAATTTGAAAATATGGACATTGTTGTGGAAAATGACCTCACATTCCACAATAAAACCTTTAGAAGTGTCCATTGTACATGTATTCTGCCACACCATTAGTTGTAAATTATTTTGAATAATGCATGCTCAGAACTCGCATGTAATAGCATTATCATCACATATCCCCATACATTATTAAAGTTAAATATATATTCTAGTCTCTGACCCCAATGGTACAAATGTTTCATAATCTTCGAATGACTGAAGTGAATAAAGCGGTTACCAGGCAACAGAAAGATGTTGTAATTATGAAATAAATGATAGTAGTAATTTTTCTGTGATCAATGTTGTGGGAAATTGCAAGTTTAAAAGAAAAGATGGTTAAAAAAAAATTTGGGAAGCACTTGTTTTACAGGGGAATACATACAAGGATATAACCAGCAACCCAGGCCATAACATAGTTATCCAAGAATGGAACATATGATTATTTAGGTCTATAAGAACAATATATCTCAATATGTCTGCATTCTTGTGATCTTATATTGAACTAAATGTGAGAGATAAAGGAATAAGGATGTGAATTTTGAATCTATACATTATTAGTCAAATCTTGTAGAATATGATTAAGAAAAAAGTCTTGACAACAAATTTCAAAATCTTGTCTCACGTAGACTGGTAGAAATATTTTTTAAGACTTCCGATTTTGTGAAATCTATACTAGCATAGGCACTTTCTGTTTTGTCGTCACTCTCTGAAGTGCGTCGAAGTGGCGAGCGTGGTGAATGTGGCGAAGGATTTTGCCCATTCTCTTCTACATCCTCGCTTGGTCCTAGATCAAGTGATATGTAGTTTAAGACAGCTGCCTGTGGTTGTGGAGAGGTGTTTTGTTTACCTGGACTGCCTGACGATGTGTTAGGCACCTCCACATTCAAATAATTGTCTGACGATGTGGCCGTAGACTGAAAATGTGTGGAAGTTACCGCTGGATGAGGAATATCCTTTGGACGAGGAACAGACATTTTTATTGTCCTTTCTGCTCTATTCTTACTCTCCAAATCTTTGCGCATCTTGTCCTTGGTTCCTATTTCAATGTTTATGTACTCAGGTGGGTGGTGTGACATTTTCTTGAAATCTTTTGGTTGCCTAGGTGACAGACTTGGGGAAAGTTTTGGAGATTTTCGTGCTCCTAATTCAACTTTCTCAAGTCTGTCTGCTGGAAGAGGTAGTCTTTGAGGTCGTGATGACTTGAGGCCTGTTTTTTGTGAACTATGACCCTGACCTATGTCCATTTCAGCATAATCACCTAAATTCTGTTTTTTTTTACTCAAGTCAATATTTATATAGTCATGCTTCCCTGTCATTGTTTGTTGGTTGGCACTTTCCTCCACTTGTTTTTCCACACTCTGTGATTCGTAACTCATCGGCATATAAGTATCAAGTGTTGGCAATTGTTTGGGCGTTTTCAAAGATGCGCCCGTCGCATAAACTACTTTTGGCTTGATGTCAACATTAGTGTAAGAAGGTGACTGGGTGACTGGTGCATTATGGGTATCATTGCCAATGCTTCCCGGAGTAAAACCCATGTAAGAGTCTATTGGAGTTAGAGTTGGTGTTACTGTCTTAATCTGTAAAGGCTCTGCAAAGCAATAGAATCATGATATTACAATAAGAGTCGAGTTATCGTGTTGAAGGAATATACACAGTTGGAAAATGAATGGTCAAAGCACGTCAAAGATAGAGCTGTTGGCCATTTTGAAATCTGATCTGAAAAACAAAATAAAATATTTCAAGTTTGCATAATGTTTGATGTTTGTACCAAGGTTGAACTATTTTTCATCCATACATGACCTTGATGCAGTTCTGGAATGGTCGAAATGCATGCATGAATGTGATCCCTTGAGGCATGTCAGAGATAAAACACACACTACGAGTCAAAATGTAAATCTTCTTTTTGGCACTGAGGCTGGTCTGAACTAGAACTAAAAAGTTTTAGTCCAATACTTATTGAATTTAAATGCCAGCCACAAATATTTGAATATTGATTTGATATTTTAATGGCATCGCTGTCTAATGCCATTTTTGTAAATTTTATAAATCAGTTAACATGTAAGCAAAAGCCGTCATGGATTGCCATTGGTTCATTCGTTCAAGAAATGCCAATCTTTATTCCTTGGAAACGCACACAATTTCTCTCAAAAACACAAAGTTGGGGATATAGGAATAAATTTGTGAAAACAAAGTTGCGCAATTATAATTCAACAAACATTGACAATGTGATGCCAAATTCCATCACTAGCAGCAATACAGTAGTACGGGTGTACATTTGACTAAATAATGCTATGACGCAATCAGTCATTACTGGCAATGTACTGTAATGGGTTGAGCATATTTGTTTGAATCACTAAACAAGCAGCCTCTTGAATGAGATGCACATTTCAATCTGAGAATTGAAGATATCATCATGAAATGAACAAATCTGAATGAGATGCACCTGATCCACATGTGTATAATATTAACGCAATCGGATTTGCGGTTTTTAACAAAAAGTCAAAATTACAAAAATATTCATCAAAATTAGAGAATTGAAAATATGATCACAAAATGAACAAATTTGAGAGAGTTGCACCTTACCTTTGTAATGTGCAATATAAAAGCAATACATACTTGTGGTTTTCATTTTCAATTTTTGTTTTTTTATTTTCAATATCATTATTTACCAAAAATGACAAAAATATTCATCAAAAATAGAGAATTAAAGATACGGTATCATCACGAAATGAACTAATCCAAGAGAGGTCTACCCAAGGTACATATACACCAAGTATCAAAGCATTCAGTAAAAGATTGACGTGAACGACGAACTGTAAAATTATTAATAAGTCAACAGCGGAGCTAAAAATGTGATGTGCAACCAAAATGTAGAATCATTGCACTGAGCCATCTCCGAAAAACGTTGCACCTGTAACCCAATATGTATGATCTTGATATAAGGCCCTGACTACATTCACAGATGGCGATTTTAGAATTTTAGAGAAAATGGCCGTCAATTCAACAAGTTTGATTAAGTCACACAAAATGAGACAACCTATGTATGGTATTACCAATTAGCATAATACTTGCAACTGAATCAGGTGATATATTAGTGGAGAATGAGCAAAAACAAAATGGCCGCCAGTTGGCCAGTTTTGTTTGAATCTTGATAAAAAATATGACTTGCACCTGTAACCCAAATAAGCATGATCATGACACAAAGTTTGAATGAAATTGCTCTGTTCATCTCTGAGGAGTTGTTCCAAACATGTTTACAAACTGTGATTTCAGGATTTCAGATAAAATGGCCTTCAATTTAACAAAGTTGATCAAAATCACAAAATAACACAACCTATGGTTTTAGAGAGTAGAACTTTCAAATGAATCAGGTGATTTTAGTCACTTTGGTCACAATTCCTGAGTGTGTGCAGGTGATGAATCCTCAGCTTTGAAACAAAAATGATAGATGTTCAGTATAATGACATATTAATTATTTGTCATCTTCATTAGTGCTCCCACATTGGTTTCCCATATAATATTGTTGTATTGGGCTCTGCAGTGTAGGCATAAATGTCATGGACTTTAACTACAATTAAAACAGAACCATGTCAATTTCACCATGTCAACGTATACACAAACAATGTTTTTATTAACGATTTACAGTTATCTATAATTTGTTAATTTCAATATGTTTATTATTAACAAACTAAATAAGAATTGTAATTTGTTATTGTTATGATGAAAAAAATATTATTTATTATTATTACACGGATTAAAAATTTGAAAAAAAAACATTGGCAAAAACATAGTTTATGTTATTTATTTATATAATATGCAGGTTTGTGGGAAAGCAATATCACTGAATTCACAAACCAAATTCTACACAAACCTACCCTCCCTATTGCATCAATGGAAGAGCCCAAATGATAATAATGAAGACATCCAACTTATTCAGCAGATCGTTAATAATGAGGAGCAAATATTCTATATTCTTGTCAAATGAAACAGAATCTCTTTGTTATTCACACCCAGCTGGCAATATCAGGGTAATGTGAAATTAACAGCAAAAATTAATAGCATACATCATGGTTAAAGTGACAGCAGTAACAATGTGCTTTGATGCTCTCTTGACAGGGAAGGTGAGGGCAATTATGATTTTGAAATGGATGTTAGCATCAACTTGTTATTAAAGACTCAGATGTCACACAAATGACAAATTGAGATGACTTTTGGTAAAAAACTGATATACTACTAATTGGTGCATCATGCTATAGGCGATGAGGTGCAAGCCAATTTTTAATCTACTCTTTTAGAATTAAACTTAATTCTCTCATCTGTGAATCAGTTGAACCCAGCGTAGCTATATGTATAGCAACTGTTTCGTTAAAGTACAGGGATTTCACAGGTTTGATGGCAGATGTTTTGTGATCTAAGAGACAATTGGGATTGCTCAGCTGGCGGGTTAAATTAGCGCATTAGCGTTTGTAATTAGTGAAATACATTTAGATATTGACGACTGAAGCATAGTGAGAATTATAACATACAAGCTGGTGATAACACACTGCCCATTTACTTATCACTAACAATCAAAGTTGACAACCTTGGTCACAGTGTGATTATCAATTAAATTTTAATTGAAGCAAATATCAGGGGAGTGTGCAAAATATATAACATTCATGGATTTTCAGGAAAGAAAAAGGTCAATCTAAAATAATTAATGTTTTATTTTTAAAGAAACTTGTACGCATGCTTGGATATAATATCAATTGTCAATGTTCAAAGCTAGAATAAATAATGATTGGTAAAACCTGGAGGTGTCTGGGTTTAATTTTGTGAATTTGTGATTGTGATTTCCTATCTTAAGGAGTTTATTGAATAATTTTAATTCTTTGAGATAACATTTTTTTTTACTTGAAACACTAATTTTTAGAGTGATTCATTATTTCATGAAGTATTGAAGTCATTGTTAATGACATAGTCCTCATTGGAATTGTTATTTTTGTATCCAAACTAACTTTCCTTTGTCTGGGTCCATGTATAGAGATATAGTAGTATGGTCAAAAAGCAAGATTGCAGGCAGTCAACCATCTTTTATCCGATTGTAAAACATGTAATTTAAAATGTACGATGTATGTACTAAATTTGAACAAAAAGTAACAAAGCAAGCATAAGATACCACATTTTTGGAAAAACAACATGGCTGCCAGTAAGAAACAAGTAAATGAAATAGAACATTTAGAGCAAGCAAGTGTATAAAAAAATGATTTAAGAATTTTATCACTGGTGGCACTATTAACAAATACAATATTCCAATACTATTAAAAACAATGTATGATGGGTAAAAAATTGGACATCATTCTTTTCCCTGTAAAGATAACAGTTTGAAAAATTAGCATTCATTTCATTGTCTCTTCTGAATTCCTGTTATGTGCATACTGCAAGTGAAAGTGCTGACAGTAGTGTATTTGCTCCAGAAACCATAATCCATGTGACGGACAACATGGCTGACAAGTCAATTTGCTATCCTGGTATCACCAAGACAAGTATATCTGAAGACCTAAACCATGCTTCCCTAAAAATCACATTCAGTTAATAGTGAATGGATCTTGACCAGTTTCTTTGGTCACCATGTTCAATCTGTGGCACAACCTCCATGACAGGGGTTGAGTCTGTGGCACAACCTCCATGACAGGAATTGAGCCTGTGGCACAACCTCCATGACAGGAATTGAGCCTGTGGCACAACCTCCATGACAGGAATTGAGCCTGTGGCACAACCTCCATGACAGGAATTGAGCCTGTGGCACAACCTCCATGACAGGAATTGAGCCTGTGGCACAACCTCCATGACAGGAATTGAGCCTGTGGCACAACCTCCATGACAGGAATTGAGCCTGTGGCACAACCTCCATGACAGGAATTGAGCCTGTGGCACAACCTCCATGACAGGAATTGAGCCTGTGGCACAACCTTCATGACAGGGGTTGAGTCTGTGGCACAACCTCCATGACAGGGGTTGAGTCTATAAAACACCCATTCAGGATAGGGGTTCAGTCTGGAACACACCCACCGAAGATAGGGGTTGAGTCTGTAACACACCCACCCAAAATAGAGTCTGTGGCATATCCTCCCAGGATATGGATTGATATTTTAGGTAGAATATGAAATGAAATATCTGGTATTAATATCAGTTAACAGTACACTGACCTATTTTTGGCATGGCATCCCCGACAGGCGCCATGTCCATGTAACCTTCATCGTGAGTGGCCAATTTTACATTGGAAGGCTCGGTTTTAGATCCACTCTCCTGATTCGTTGAACATTCTTTAATGTAGGATGTCGCTGTGACGGGTGGACTCATTGACATGTATGCAATGTCAATATCACCTGTGAAGATAAAAAAACGCACACACATGTTCAGTATGTAGCACCACCAAGTGTTGGTAACTGAATAATCTTTCATTTTTATGAGAGAGACATTTTAGCATAGCCAAACACAGACAAGCATGAAATAATTCTATTTTTGGTTTGTCTTTCCATAACATACCATTTTAGTGATTTTTTTTAAAATGAAAAAGTCACTTACCTGTCAATGGTGTACTATTGCCAGGAGAGATATTGACGTAAGATTCTGGAGTGGAAATTGATTTTGTTCGGGGGTCCATTGACATGTACCCATCCTTAGATGCCGCCACTTTGGGAATTGCTTGGCCTGAAAGATAAATATTAACTTATTTTATTTATTGCAATACATACTGTAACCAAGTTATGAAAAACAGAATTTAACCTTTAAACCTTCAACAGTTCTGCCAAAAGCAAGACGGAAAAAGAAGACTTAAATTACATATGCAAGGATGATTAATGATAAATATTTCACAATGATTTGCAAATGGCCATTGCAGTTCCCAGGTTAGAACACCGATTGTTGTCAAAACAAATAATGTTCAGCAATGTTGAGAATGCAGTATCTGTAAATCTGTAAATAGGAGTCTTTCCTACATACATGTAGATAGGCAAACAGCTGATAGGATGCCTTTGCGTTTGCCGACAAGTGTTCGGCATCGGATAGCCTCAAAATTTCAGTGAAATTAGCGTGCAAAGATCAGCTTTTTTTTATGGTGTTAAACCCATTATGAGCTGACTGATGCATTTAGGGATAGACCATTTGCTTTCTGGGGGTGCTATGTATATAACAATAGTAATAATTTCTTATTATTGTTATTATTGTTATCAGTGTACACCAATAAACAGGGGAGATTTTTTGTGATACCAATTTTGGTGTTCTAATTGTGTACTTAATTGGAATTAATAAGGAATGACCAATTGGAAGATAGGATGGACACTTTTTTTCACATTTACACTATTGTAGAAATTCCAGATCAGAGGGTTGTGAAACACTATTCACGAACAATAGCATAAACTAATACAAAATGTACATATATATTATACATTTGTGTACTACCATCCAACAATTGATGATCATTTGGTTTCTATACAGATCCCATTTAGACAGTCACAGTAACAAAATATCCCTGAGATTCGTAACAGTCTGTGTTCATAATTAATTGAAAATATTTAAACAATAAACGTGTCACCACTAGATGTGTTAACATTATTTTTGGACTTGATACGGCTTTTGCGCCCTGAATGTTGTGTGATGCGTAAGCTGTACGATCAAGGGCAACAAAAGCCGCATACAGCCCATGAAGGTTTTATCATATACCTTATAGGCGTAATTACAATTTGACCATGGCATCAAAGTCACGATATAATTCAGATTGTATTGATTGATGAAAATCATGGGCTGGACATGATATGGGAAATTATTACCCTGATGTGAGGGCGCACTTTTCATAGTGATATAGGGCCGGGCAATACAAGGTATGAGATAAATGCTATTTCAGCAACATTTACAGCCATCACCAGAATGATTGGGGCAGCTATTGTAGTAGAAACAAATATTTTCATGCAAGGAAGCCAACTATTGTGAAAACTATCATAGGATTTATGTGACAGTTACTATGGCCTTAGCCTGGTGTATATATGTTTTTGACCATCAACTTTGTTGATCTTCAAGGTACATTGTATTTTATAAATGTGCATGTTAACAGTAGCAAAGGTTATTTCTATGCTTGACAACTTATCAGTTGTCGGCCATGAACAATAAGATGAAAAAAAATAATTAAAGATTACTAATTTAATTTTTATTCAGTCTCAGATATGTATGATTTTTTTCCTTTTTCTTTTCTTCTTTTTTATTTCGTTGCTGTTCTGAAGGCTTAATAAATATTATTATTATTATACACAAAACAATGACACGTAGCATATAAATACAAATCAGTACAGCTATTGAATAACACATTTGCAAACAATAAATCAGTCATGCCTAATAAAGGCATTTACTAGATGTTATTCTGCAGGAACATTGTATTACAGACATCTGGTTTTGTCTGCAGTTAAATATTCAGACATTTTTGAACATGTTTTATTTAATATACATGTACATGCACCAGAATAAGCAAGAATTAGATTTGTTATGAGTGAGAATTTTAGCAAAAACCAGCTGGTTTAGAAATGGCGGACAGCCACTTTTAGAGTGAGAAGTTAGCTGGGTCAACATTTTTAATAATGTCAGTACTAGTGTAATTGAATCAGGTTCATTTTGGGGGGAATTGTCGTCTATGGCGAGTTTAATTGCATTATGATAAAATCTTTAATGTACAGATTACATAGAAAACAAAAACTTTGAAGTTTGAATCTAAAACATGTCCTATACCTTGGGAAACGGCTGATGGTGACATTGGCATGTAATCATCACCTGATTCTACGCTTTCTTCGCGTATTGGCGTCCTACTCGGTGAATCTGGGGTTGAAACTCTACCATATCTACAACAAAGTTAAGATTATTAAGATCATTATTTTAAAACAATTGATATTTATGACATCACAGTCCTAATTATGATATTGTAAATGAAACAAATAATTTTTTAAGAGGAAGCTGAAAAAACTGAACATCTTACAGATTATCCATTTCAATTTTAAAATATTTCTACACTTCCTTACATAATGAGTAATTATCACGGGAAAATAGGCAACTTCTTTGTAAGCTTTTAAACTGTATACCTGTGATAATGCTGGTCAACGGGACTGGAACCATATTCTTCCGGTGTCCGGCTACCATCTGGAGATATGACTGTAGCATTGCTAAGATGACGGAAGAAATGCTCGTCTGGAAAACTGGAGCTCTGCTGTGGACTTTCACTGCAAGATTGAATGACTGACAGTTAAAAATATGACCAGATAAAATGAACTGCCACTTAAGCGACAATTCTTTCAGGAAGGTTTATGAGTAAACACCAAGATGTCAAAAAAGAGGTTCCCACTAAGTGGATTCCAATTTGGATCAAATTGAAATCTCACTAAATTAAAATGTCTGTTTTTGAGCTATTTTGACAATATTAGGATTCACATCAATATCAATAATAATTATGGTGACCAGCGAGCAAAATTTAAAGATATATTAAAATGAAAAAATATTTTTTTTATATAATCTGTGCATATACCGGTATGCAAATATTGTACAATTTCTATGATACTGGGTATTTTAGATCCTATATCTCAAAAAAAATTCCATTTCGGGTATCTTGGCAGCATGAAAAAAGATGACATGCAATTTGGACTGAACTTTGTTGCAATATGTTTTCTTTGCTGTGGTTACTTGGCAAAATTCACAAGGCCATTCATGAGTGCATTGGGAAGGGAATTCTGGATGTCAGGATTCAGGTTAATTCATTGGTGGCAACATAATTTGTAACCAAAGATTACCTGAATCCCAGCCATTGGCATATGACTACCATACATGTAGATTTGACAGGAAACCTCAATCAGACATATAAATATTCACCCATAATGCATTTCTGTGACAAAGAATAACATATTTTCCTTTCTTTTGTTTAATTCTGGGTTACATCATTTATCTGAGCATGCATAAGAATAGCCAGATAAATGTGAATTATCTGGCATTGCTAGTCAGAATATAATTTGAGAACCAATTTTGGGTAATTGAGATGATCACAGCAAACAATTAGATACAATGCATGGCAGAAGTATTATAAAACATTTTATAAATATAAAATGTTATGAATCAACACTTTAATTTGAATACGTTAGCACACCACATTCCTATATGATTGAAGACAACACAGTGTGGGTGTAGACAAAGTTGAGTTCATTGGAGCCAATCAAAATTACAAATCTGAATTTGAATGAAAGCTAAGGGGAATTATTTGCAAATATTTATAAATATGTTTATAAACTAAAACAAAGGTTTCTGCCACACACTGTAACAAACCATTATTAATTAATTAATTAATTAAGAACAAAAATGAAATGAATCACACACATCATTCAGAGAGCAACACAGAGATGTTATGGTTGAACAGGAAAATAGATACCAGGAGCTAAAAAAACAAAGGCGGATAAACCTAAGGGTCTGCAGCAACATATAGTAACATGCGACTATACTATCCCACTTAAGGTCAAGTTGATTTCAAGCTGAAACAAATTTTTTTTTGTCAAGTTTCACTTTTTTGCCGAGATGCAAACAATTGAAAGTTTTGGCTAATCCATATTCAAATGAATCAACAAAAAATTAATTAATAAAACAAAACATCTTTCAAATAATCATAGAAGACAGCACAAAAGTCAAATTGATGTTCAGAGTGCGAGATAAATATTTTTAACTCTGTAGAAATTGCGGGTGTTTGTATGAAATCGCTATGACATGCTTTTAAAGATCTCAATGAAATGTTTACTTCTATTATAATTTTATATTATATAGCAGATTCACAAACATTTTGTTTTGCGAAATTAATATTGTGTTTAGTATTTTTTCAGTTACTTCAGTGTACATGTTTTCAATTACAGGTGGTCTGCGAAGTTAACTTTATGTTAAATTTTTCCAATTGTTTCAATGATGCATCTTCTAATTACATCTAGGATAATTGATATAAAAATGGTCATTTTAACCCTTTAAGCACTAAATATTTTTTTCGCTCCAATTATGGTAAATTTGTTAAAATAATTTTCACTGAATTTCATCTATTTTTGGATCAAACAAAATATTACATTGCTTCTAGCTTTGGACCCAAAAATTTTGTTGTCAACATTTTATGTGGACGTTGCTTGAACTTGACTTTAGGGCTCAAAGGATTAAAGCAGTTTTTTATATTTATTTTTTCTTAGGATCTACATGTCATCTATGTGTCAGACCCTAAGTTTTTTCCACATTCGTTGCCATCAAATTGTTCAATAAATATCAGCACCATTTTGAAAACTTAAAACGATAAATTCTCATTTTACTTTGATTACAGAAAGTTTGTGAATACCAGTGAGTATGAGTATCAGTGCTTTTATTTACTACATGGAATTTAGTGCATTTCAAAATGGTTGCCTTTGTCATGAGGTGTGAAGTGGTTATGTTCTTTGAGTATGGATCATTTAAAAGCGAAGCACAATTAGTTTTCAAAGATGGCACCAAAACTGAAAAAATTTTCAATCGGAAATAAGATTCAAAAGTCAAAATAAAAAACAAAACATTTTTGGTCCCATCTCTTTGCAAATGCTGAGAATAAGTAAAGCGATCTACCTCTAAGTTTAGTGAGTTAAGGGGTCACAACACTGCAACTCTCTTGCTATGATTGGCTCTTCAGAGACCATGTGAGCAATGGTCTACCTAGCTAACTAATTAATACACGCTCACCTTAAAGGGCTGTTAGAAACGGGTGGAGAGTTTGACATTGGCTGAGATACAGACCGTGATATGGGAGTGTACGGCCGGAGTCTACTACTTCCCAGGTTACTGCGTCCTTGGCTTCCAATTGTTCGAGATCTTGTTTTACTAGGGCTAGAAAAAAAATGAAAAAAAAAAAAATAGATGGTTACACATTTAGTTTCAATGTACATATACATGTATATGTGATTGTGGTTGTATATGTTACTACAGGGAATCTGCAGCTCAAGAAGCCAGAGAAAACATGCCTAAGAACAAAAATAAAATGATAACAAAAAATGAACTAAAATAATAAAACACAGGAAATATTAGTATATGCATTATATCTAAAAATGAATATGAAAATTACTTTCAATAGATGAAGGAATAAACAGATAGATTTTTGAAAACTATATCATGCTCTTGTATCAATTGACCTTTGAACTTTGACCTTTCACACAGAATGGTATGTTCCTAAGGTAAGCTTGCAAATGCACCACAGCAAAAAGCACAAACCAGCAGGTCATAAGATAAAAGAAATTACACATGCAAAATGAAGCAAATTTCAATTGTTAGATTATTATTGGATACATGACAGTTGTTAATTTCATAGCGGATTAGTAAATTTACTTAAACTTACAAGCTTTATTTTAATGAATATTAACTAGATCATGATGATTATAATTTTTACAGTGCTCTGTTACCAAGGTTACCAAAGAATGCTACCTTGTTTATATCATCACTAGCCAGTCACTATCACTGTTTGTTAGTAACTAATTTATTGATTAATAATTACATAAGAGTGATGTAATCTGTAGCTAACCTTTGACCTGAGAATTTACCAGGGAGTACTATGCAAGACCTTGAGGCACAATGCATGTTATGTAAAATGAGATTTTTGAAATTCACAACCAAACAGAAGGTGAATTTGAGCCATATAAGTACTATGAGGTTATTATGAGGATACTTCAAATTATGCATGAAGACAGTACAACGGAAGTATTGACCAACACGCAATGGAGGTCGATGCGAGGTGTACTGTCTGAGTGCATACTCTGAGGTATCCTCGTAATAACCTTATTATTATACATCTTTTCCTTCCAAGGATATATCATGGGAATGCCAAAATCAAAAAGTTTAGAACAGAATCAGCAAACTTGTTTGTGTGGAGTCTGGTCAAACCCTGGTGGCAGCCATTTTTGTTTTTATTATTAGAAGACGCTTACACGAGTAATCATTCCATATTTGGAATTTGCATTTCCTAATACGGTAGGATGAAAATACCTCGTAAAATACCACAAAATTATGGCGTGCTGTAACTTATGGCATTAATGTGAAAGATGTATAATAATAGTTTTTATTGTACACTGAGAAATGTTACCCAAAGTGGCACAATAGCCCCAACACAGTGTCAATCATTTGCGTCAAATATTCTAATAAAGTTAGATTACTGTAAACTAGTTTTTTTTTAATTTCGCTATTTTATTTGAGGTCGTTAGTTTTGCATAAATTTCTATGTGAACTTATTTTGATGTGGCCATGGCATGACTATTCTTGGCTTTCCCATAGTGATTTTGCATCAAATGTCAGTGAATTTATGAGCATCTACTCGCAACAGCCTTTTTTAACATATGTCTAACTTCAAAAGAGCTATAAAAATCAACACAAGCGGCATTTGATTCATCCATTGATTGCAAGAAACCTCAGCATTGTTGCAACAGAGTTAAGAGTCAAATTTGTTTCCATATACTTTCCTTTATTCCTCCCCAGACAGTGGCTTTCCTGTTAGGTGAAGAATTTGAGCCCAAATCCAATTGATCTGAGGGTTTCCCTACATGCAATGCATTACAAGATTACAGAAAACGGTTGTCCCAGGTCAAATTCTCAGGTCAAGTGTTAGCATTATTTGTTAAAATGTACTAACAAGTAGTGTGAATGACTGGCAGTGACTATTAAATAAAGAAGGGTCCTATCAGGCTCTTCAGGGCTGAAATGTTATAAATTATACTATATACATAAGAGTGAAACATTCAAGACCAACAAAATGATAAAGAATGCACTTTGTTCTAAATAATTATCTGTATTTTTTTGTTATAATGAGAGTACTTTTAAGATGCAGAAATACCTTTTTTAAAAAGAAACATGGACAAATAATAAAAAAAAAATGAAGAACAAAGAACAAAGTAAAAAAAACAGATCAAGGCGAGAGATTGTAAATTCTGGCCATCTTGAACAACAAGACAACTCCTGAAGACGGGAGTGGAGTGGTGGTGGGGTGTAAAGGGCAATGATTGGGTACCATGGTTACATGTAACCAAAAATGTAACAAACCTGTCTGGACGATTACTGCGATAATGTTTGTCACCTTCGCTGCTAGTCCGTGGTCGAAATCTACCTCCAAGTTTGAAAATACTAAAAAGGAAGGATGGAAGTTAACATCCGAATGCATTGCATGCATGACAGTATTATGGGATAGTTTTCCCATATGTTGCCAGGCAACCAAACATAGAGGATAATCATGCAGAAGTCATATATCAGAAGTAGTTGGTACAAATGGTGAACTTGTCTTACGCTGGGACAACACACGCATGCTACATCAGCTGCAACTATTAGATTAATATTGTCAATATAAGCAAAATGATAGACATGAGAAGGATGCAATAATGGGAAATGAAACAAGAGGCACAAGAGGTCTATGAACTTCATACATCCCATTTTTGTGCAGGAAAGGTTCAGATACAAAGATTTGAAAACAAATGTATGTGCATATAAAAACTTTAAAGAACCTAATACAAGTGATAAAAAATAGCTTGACAACATTCAAAAGCACAAAATTCACAAAAAATGCATCAATGCATGATGGTTTTTAAAGATAAAGCAGTATTTATATAGTCACCTGGTGGCGGCCATCTTTGCTCGTATTTGATGTTCACCCTCGCTGCAAGTCCGAGGCCTTAGGATGCCCAAGAATAAATGGCGGGGTAGACTGTTAACCTACTAATTTGGTGTGGTCAACCCTTTCACAGCCGAATTATTTTCCCAGCGAAAAATTTACTTAAAAATTTCCATTTTTGTCAATAATATTCTCAAATTTCAGTATTAATTTTGAATATGACAGAATATGATTTTGCATGATAACTTCTAATTTTGCTAATTGTCTCTGATAAAAGTAAGAAAATTTAGGGACTATTTTGTGGAAGGTTACAAAAGTTGACATGGTGGTGAAAGGGTTAATAGTGCAAAGTGTGATGATGAGATATTTTGGCAGGCTATGACGTCACAGAACACATTAGACAGAGTGTTAAAGTATCAATTAGTCAGAGAAATGTTAGAATTCAATATAATAAAGAAGGAATAGATTAAAATTATTTCTGTCAGTAAATACGCTACATACATGTACACATGCATCCAATATATGTGGATAATTTCTAAATTTCACCTCAAGAGGGCAGATTACAAAAGAATTTCTTGCTTTAACCTCAAGAGGGCAGATTACAAAAGTAATGAAATGTAAACAGTTAATTTGTTGCCGTAAATGAGTTGATGGTGTTCACTGAAGTTATAAACTTTGTAATCTTCCATGCCAATGGTCATCGTGTAGCGTACGTTCGTATTTTACACGTGTATAAATGTCAAAGAATATATATCCCTTCATGGTGACCACTGCCCTTTAAAGCAGTTAACAGTTACCATAGTTACAAATCTGAAGGGCAATTTGTTGAAATAAAACATAGCTCAGTGTAATTTTCCCCATATATTTTGTAATTAACAAATTTAACAACACTACCAGAAACATTCGCAAAGCAATAAACACAAAGAACAATAACACACAGTATCAGAACAAACAGCAGACAGCTGAAAGAATTATCAAGAACAAGATTTTGTTTTATAGCAATTCAAAGACAATAGTTTCCACAGCATTGAAACCTGCTGTTTAGATTGTCAAATGTAATCACAAAGATGTAATAAAATCTATTTTAATTGGCTGTAACCTAATCATCTTATATGCAAATACAAAATTAAAGAAAGATATAACGACAACTCTGATTGGTGTGTACAGTCACATGACCAAAATCTCTTCAAAAAGTACTGAGAGAAAACTTGTCCTTGATAAAAGAAACAGACACACAACCACAGTCATAAAATTAAACATCAGTTTAAACATCCCTCCAATATTATGATAATGGTATCACCCATATACTTATTTTTGCAGGACATAACATTGTGCTCCAAATACAGGAGTGAGCAGGGTATAGTAATGAAATTTGATAGAAATCACATTAACTTATTGACATTTATGACCAGAGAATATTCTATTTTTGTTTTTGACATATTTTTTGAAGAGTCTCGAAAAACCATTATTAGTTATTGAATGTTTATTGATTAGTCATGTGATTCTGGATGATTTCCAACTGTAAAGGATCATTAACAGTTGACACAAGTGAATGCTGATTAAAATTACTTTGTCATGGCAACAGTCCTTTTGTCAATGCACACTTCGAAACACTGATAATGCATAAATTGCATCCTAATCGTCTCATTCAGCAGAGAGAAAGCATTTTAGTCTGCGTTTTACATTTTTCAATCCCGAAAACTATAAACTGAATGGTTCCTCAGTAGACTCTAATTTTGACCTGCAGGGTAAGTATGAACCTTAAATCCCACAAATCACAAATAGTATTGGTTACCTTCCTGGGCTGCGGTCCCCTTTTGAGTCATCCATTTTACCACCCGGTCCAAGTGTTCTGGAATGTGCTGGCATACTATCGCAGCGTGTTCGACTTCGGTTCAGAGAAGCCATACTTCCTGGTGTGCCTGGCCTACGTGGTACAGTAATAGGTTTTGTGACATCTGGAGTTGAGGCCCCTGTACTACGACTACGAGGGCGCATATCGTCATCAAGATGACTCATATTTTTCATGGCACTGAAAAAAAAAATATTTTTAGATGCATAATATTTCACTTTTATGTAGTTTACATTAGTTTCTCATGCCTACATCAACTACCAAAAAAAACAAACAAATGCCACATTACCTAAGAATGGATTCATGCATGTTTTGAGCAATCACTGTGTCTTCCACTTGCATCCAGAGTTCACCAGCTCCTGTAACAGTTGAACGACCGACTTCCATGAAAAAGAAACAATCTGAGTGCCCACATCTTCGTATACTACTGAGCTGTTACAGAGAAAAGATATGTTCAGTATGTACCTACTAAATATCAGTGACAGTAAAAAAACATAGCAAAACATAAAAACAACCTTGTTTATTGAGAACCTAGATTAAGTAACAAATGTATGCATGGTTACAAACTAACGATGCACAATAATTTCTTTGAATGGCAATAACGCATTACAAACAAAACAAAGGGTATATATAAATTACATATTATAATTAGGTTTTATAAATTGTGTTTTTTAAGTATTTACAATGCAAGTGAATATTAAATTTTGGTTAGCTGTATTACACATTTTTAATTTACAGTCTTCTAAGAGGGTATTTTCTTTCTTGAGTGAATATAGTCAGTTGTTGAGCATTAGGGTAGGAGGTGAGATAGATATTGTCTTTCAGTGACTTCCAGTTTAATGGCTGGGCAAGAGCTTCTATCCTTTGTTTTATTTCCACTGTAGGCTGGGCACTGATAATGTACACTGATGTTTACTAAGTAAACATAATTATTGATAAAGGTCATTAGTTGTGTTCACACACAGTATGAGCAGACAGGTTGAAAACGTCAACCGGTGCTAAGAAAACATGCACGAATGCTTATTACAGGCTAAGAAAACATGCACGAATGCTTATTACAGGCTAAAAAAACATGTATGAATGCTTATTACGAGAAAAATTATGTATGGGCTAAATCTGACCCAGTTTTTGACCTGGTCCAGATCCTTAGAATGAGCTAACAAAGTGTGCATAAACACTTAGCTAGGGCTAACAAAGTGTGCATAAACACTTAGCTAGGGCTAACAAAGTGTGCATAAACACTTAGCTAGGGCTAACAAAGTGTGCATAAACACTTAGCTAGGGCTAACAAAGTGTGCATAAACACTTAGCTAGGGGTAACGAAGTGTGCATAAACACTTAGCTAGGGCTAACAAAGTGTGCATAAACACTTAGCTAGGGCTAACAAAGTGTGCATAAACACTTAGCTAGGGCTAACAAAGTGTGCATAAACACTTAGCTAGGGCTAACAAAGTGTGCATAAACAAGCTTAACTCAAAACCCAAAAACACTGTTGTAGTATTTGATGTCAATTTATTATTATATTCATAACTATTTAATTTTGGCATGTAATTTCCGACATGACAATCAACGCAAGCACATCAAGAAACAATATTTTTTAATCAAATATTTTCACTAAAATTAGTAAATTCAAGATATTGTCATAAAACATTCCAATCTAATAGATATCCACTCAAGGTCAGTCAAAAATAACATTATTGACCAAAAATGACAAAAATATTCATTAATATGCAGAATGATATAACTTTGCTGTACAGTTGAAAATAACATTTGTTCCAAAAATATTCCCTAAAATTAGAAATTAAACTTATCATCAGGAAATGGAATGATCCAAAATAGCCATTTTTACCAAAACTGACAAAAATATTCACTATAATTAGAGATTGGATTCCAGACTTATACAGCAAAGTCCTGGAGAAATTAACTTGCAGAGAAAAAAAGAACACTTACCGGGAAAACTCTATCTTCATTTTCTACATTCATCTTCACTAAATTAACAGTTGTAGATGTAAGACAAAGTCGGTAAGAACCGGTTAGACTTTTACTGTTTCCGAGACCACGTGGTTTTAACGTCACCTGCCAAACGTGTTCTGAAAACAAGCAAGACAATAATTGCATCACAACAAAAGCTTAACGTTAACATATTTTTCTTCATATTCAAGTAAAACAAAGTTTCTACACCACATGGGTATTAAATGTAGTGATGACAAGCACTTACAATGCACAGTTGGATATTTAATGCCAAATTTGATTACTAGCAGCAATCCAGAAGTGTGGGTGTACATTTGACTGTTGCATTTCTGGCAATGCAATTGTTTGAATTACTGAAAAGGTAGTGTGTGCAACCACAATCTAGTAGCAAGCCATCTCAAAAAAAAGGAGTTGTTAAAATGATGTATACCTATAACCCAGTATGTACATGTATCTATCTATCTGTATGATCCTGATACAAAGCCTTGATTATCTGTGAGAAATGATTCCAGACATACATGTATTTACAGACTGTGATTTTGAGATTTTAGACAAAATGTGATCAAGCTACACAAAATATAACACAACCTATGGTATTACATGAGTATATGACTAAAATTGAAGGTATATTCACAAAAACAACAAATTTGATTGAGTTACATCTAAGTTATGTATAAAATATCAAAGCAATTGGGTAGTCGTAACCCAAAATAACTAGAATATTCATGAAAATAGAGATTTGAAGTATCATCATGAAGTAAACAAAGAAAGGTTCACCCAAATACATAAATACATCAAGTATCAAAGCAAGCAGACTTTTCAAGAAGTTGTAAATGTAAAGTTGACACCGACAGACAATAAGTAATATGAACAAGCCAATAGGCTGATTGGCGATCCGCCTCGCTAAAGACAAATTGTTTTCGGGTGATTTAAGGTTTTAGGACAGACAAGCTGGTTGGCTGACAAGCTCTATGCTAGTGCTGACAATACTGATTCAACATTCAATTAATTCTAATACTCAGTAAATTTAAATGCTTAATATACTTATATTTTGAACAAAGCTACGACCAAAATTTTTCAGCTGTTGTTTGTCATGACAACAGAACTAATATTTTTTTAAATTTGTCCACCTTTCTAGAGTGTAGGTATAACCTGTTTGACAAGTTTGACCAATATCCCCCCAACCAATCACAGAAAGTTTAAAATGTTGGCAGGCTGATCGTAGATTCAGTCTGCTCAAACAAAATATAATTTCTTCGCGTTTCGACGAATTTGCCTACCTAACTAGAGTACAGGTGTGACCAGCCTATCAAGTATGAACAGACACACTGACAAGAGACTTATATAGAGGTTTATAACCACTGTTTTAAATAACGATTTAGGCTAGCACTGAATGTAAAAGCACAGGTGTCAACTCAAAAACAAAATAGTCACTTTAGTCACATAATTTAAATAATCTGCAATATAGAATAATTTCTGATACAGTAATTTTATATACAAATAAAAATGTTTAAATTCCAAATTTGATGTCATTGGTACTAATTCCTTCTTTCGTTTGTATGTTCGAAATTGTATTATTTTATCCAATGCCAGCAAAGACATTGATGAATTTTCTTACAGTAATTGGTTCTTTTAAAAAAAAGTTGACATGTGTATCATTGAATTTGTATTTGTTTTTCGTTTTGTGTATTCTGTGTAGTATTCTAACTAAACAACTATATCTAAAATTACATTTGTGGTAGCAAATATACAAACATGGGGTAAAATACTACTACATAGTAAGATGTCTATGCTATGCTTACAAACAGCAAACATCACCTAGACAGATGAACTCACACATTGGGATAAACTGTTAGGATACAAACATCACCTAGACAGATGAACACACACATTGGGATAAACTGTTAGGATACAAACATCACCTAGACAGATGAACACACACATTGGGATAAACTGTTAGGATACAAACATCACCTAGACAGATGAACACACACATTGGGATAAACTGTTAGGATACAAACATCACCTAGACAGATGAACACACAGATGGGATAAACTATTGGGATGTCCATGCTATGCATACAAACAACACCTAGACAGATGTACACACACATTGGGATAAACTGTTAGGATGTCCATGCTGTGCATACAAACAGCACTTAGACAGATGAACACACACATGGGATAAACTGTTAGGATGTCCAAGCTATGCATACAAACATCACCTAGACAGATGTACACACACATGGGATAAACTGTTAGGATGTCTATGCTATGCATACAAACAGCACCTAGACAGATAAACACACACATGGGATAAACTATTGGGATGTCCATGCTATGCATACAAACAGCACCTAGACAGATGAACACTCACATGGG